AGACTTACCTTAGCTTCATCCTTCTGAAGACGAGGCCATGCAAAATCAGGCTTAATCTTCCTCAGCAAGACATGGATGGAGCGATCATAGACTCTTTCTCTGGAATCCTTTTAAAGAGGCGAAAGCATAAAAACACACTTATAACATCACACTGACCGTATATATATTCTCGTGTACAACATTTAAGACTAATTATATTTCATTGGTCTCATCATGCTTAAAATTTGGATGCTTACATTAATTTGAACTTTGTCATAGAAGTACAGCTCATTGTAGATCACGTCATCTGAGTGGTTTTTGCAGCTGTTGTAAACAAGACACACAGAACATTATCATTTCACTCCCTGTGAATAAGACTGTCAACAGACTAACTGTGTAACACAAGACAGAGATGACGAAAACAAGAAATAGACGCTAACAGAAAAACAAAATGGCACTTATATGTTTAAACTCACCATAAAATCATTTTGTCCGTCTGGATATCGACCTGGACATCTTTAGGTTTGTGAACCATAAAGTTGACTGTGACATATTTCTTTCTGTCAAACCACAGCGCATGTGCTGGCTGACTGTTAAGATACAGGAAAAACTATTATTATACTCAATAACTATTTTTATAAATCAAATATATGTTCCTCTTCATAATCTGTTGGTCACTTACCTCTCCTCTGGTCTGACAATTTTGGGCTTGTTCATTCTAATTCTTGTGCTAAACTAAAACAAAAACTACTCTCTTATTCCTTTGACTACCAGAAAGTAAAAACCATGTGGCGTGTTAGTTCGGGCTGTGTGCTCTAATGCAGTGGCCAGGCCCTAAAGGCTATATATAGAGCAGTTGATATCAGCTGCTGGGACACTTGCCTACCACAGCCCCTTTGCATGCCCATATAATCTGTCAGTGGAACTCTCTGGAAAACAGATGCGTCTTCTGGGGGAGGCTGAAGTTTTGGAAAACCCATCACCAGTACTTCAGCCTCCCCCGGTGCTTTGGGTGAAGTTGGGGGGCAGGGAGACACAAAACAGAGGAGTGACATCTGACATGTGACATCTAAATGTAGAAAAAGGACCCATGGATGTCAGTAAACACATCATGCAAATTCTTCTCAGACTATTTGTGTTGTTCTTTTTAGTTTTATTTAATTTATTTTAATGGAATATAATGAAGGGGAGTCTGAACTACATGTTTATTGTAAAAGTTTTCATCAAGTGTTTGTTCAGTATGGATTGTTAAATTTTTTCTCCACATAAAACGGCTGGGTACAATCAGAGTTTTACAAAACAATTAATGGTGTAAGGGTGCCTTGACACCACTACACTCTTTTAATTAAGGTAACCATGGATACAGTAGGAGACATTCATAAATAAATAAAGCCATACATTTTAACTCAACAGTCATTCTCAGATAATGAAGGTAAAACCTTACATTAAACTTCAGCATTTATCTAAACACTGATGAAGACCTTCAGATAAGGTTGAAAGCTACAAAAGAAGCTGGATCTTGCTATTTTTCCAGATTTTAGTGGGACTGTTGTTGTGTTGTGTCAGTGTATTGTGATGTGTAATATAATATGAGTAAAGTATTGTCACCATGTAAACTGCGTGGACCCCAGGAAGAATTGTGACTGTTATACAGAAGCTAATGGGGATCTCAATAAACAAACAAACAAACAAACAAACTAGAAAAGCACGATGCAAATTTGAATGCAGTTAATCTAATGTTGCAAAATGTAGTTAACTAGGAATGTGTAATGAATCAACCATTTACAGTATCCTATCAATATATCAACCAACAACCCAATGAACAGGGTTTTGGGCAGAGAGTCGCCCCCTGCTGGTCGGCGGCTCACACTAGATTTGTTTCACCGGAAATGCAATTCTGTGCTCTGTCTGTGCGGGGAATGTGGCGCGGGAGACCCAGGCAACGCTGTGTACATACAAACTTCTGCCTGAAAGAAAAAAAAAATCAATACATAGTTTTGTTTCGTCTTTTTAACCTACAGCTCGGGGAGTTTTGCTATCTGTGACTACAGTCCCACAGGAAGTGTCGCTCACCAAGGGGAACATGCCTCGTAGACGACAGGTAAGAACAAACGTAGACAAGAGGGTAACGTTAGCTAAGTTAGCACCGCTTCCACTCTCCGGACGGGGAGAACGTTCCACCATGTTCCATTCAATAATCACACAATTTAGCATGCCAAAACATGACATTACTTCTGCATATGTTCAGTCCACCGAGCAGCATTTAACGATTTCATTAATCTTCTACTGTATTAGCTGTCATATTTTGCATTTGTGAACATTTTCAGTTAACATTAAATTAAGTTAACGTAATAGTAGTGGGCGGTAACAGCGAGCGGCTAAACCGAATTTAAAACTTAATCTTGTGTTTTAATAAAATAAAACGGTGCTTTGTAGATCATATGCATGCCGAACTTACATTGAGACCACAACAACTGTTATTATGTCAATAACAAGTGAATCGGTACAAGTTTGAAAGCTCACCGATACGCACCATATCTTAAAATGCGAGATTTGTTAATGCGGTTTGGTGTCACACTCTATTAGCCGAGTGAGAAAACCGGGGGCTAACGTGACGTGCTAAGCTAACAATAATAATAGGTTGCTGGAGTGCTAAGCAGGCTAGCTACTTTGCCGTGTAGCCACTACTAAGGCTGGCAACTGTAACAGTTTAATTAGTTGCTCTTTGAGATGTCCTAAATGCTAATTGTGGTAAAATATAATCGTTAGCCGCAAACGTCAGTCACAGCTGTTTAACCTGCTGCAAACCCAGCTAACAGCGAGCTATCAGCTGTGTGTGGCCTTCCTTCCTGTCCAAGCATAATTACATAGAGTTATCTGGATTAAAAGCAGTGGTTGAACCAGTGAACCGCTCTTGTTGCAGGAGCATCAGCTGTCCCACATTTTGCCTTGCTGGTTTTATGTATTCAAAATCGTTCAATAGCAAGCTATCTTCATTGAT